GAATGAATCACCTGGAGGGGTCAGTGCAGGGAATCCAGTTCACCTCTGGAGCAGGGATATCCTCCAAGTACGGGTAGATGGATTCTCTCGTGAATTTCCAGCCATAGATGCCATCTTCAGGAGTCACAATGATGTGGGCACCCTGTCACAACAGGCTCTGTTAAAACCTCACCCATCAAGGGGGTCAGATGGAGCAGAAAACACCAATTAACAACCCTCATGATACATCTAGTACCTGCTGGGCGGCTTCCTTTACGGCCCCTTCCAAGACATCCATGTTTTTGTTCATCAGGGCCAAAGCATCATTGGGAGAAACAGGCTTGTCAGTGGGATCTGGCAGGACGACCGCGTGCTCGTAGACGGCTGCAATGAAGGTGTGGGAGGCAAGGGCCTGAAGGACTGTGAGTGCAAATACCCCAGCGTGCAGGAGAGGCTGGGAAGGGAGCATGGCTGGTACCTTGCAGCTCCTGAAGCGCTCTGAGTCATGGACAAACAGTGCGAAAGGAACAGAACATGCATAGAAAAGAAAACAGGGACAAAGTTTAACTTGGAAAGAGTGAGGAACTGCTGGTCTGTTAAAACATTATCTGAGGTATATAGGGGAAGGTACAACAGCACACACTAAGGATGTTGCAACTGAACATAACTAAAATACTGGACAATGCCAAGACTAATTGTGTCAAGAAAAAAGTCATTAAAAACATGTCTAGAATCAAAAGTCCTTTTTTTTTTGGTATACTTTTCTCTGTCATTGATTATAATAGACTTTTGCTATCTCTGTTGGTTCATCTCTGATGCCCAGGTAAAAGGGGGATGTGTCACCCATGGAGCGAGTGTTCTGTGAGCTCTGAGTGGCAAAACTGAGGGTCTTAAAAACTGCTTTATGCTAGTATCTTCATATTCCTCAATTCCTATGTGTTAGTATGTGCAGTGAGTTTCTTTAGACCAAAGTAATTGCATTAGCATCTCTCCCAATCACTTCTGTTCAGCTGTACATCACTTTCCAACAGCTTTCCACCGGAAAATATGACTCTGGAGGGAATGTTTTCCTCTGAATCAGGCAGGTAAGTAACTCTTTGCTTGGCCCTCACTAACCTGAAGCAGAAGAGTAGCAAGCATGCCTGTTCCTCTGCACACCTTTCCTGTCCCCAGGAACATGCTGTGTACAGAGAGACCTTAATTTTAATCTTCAACTCA